CACACACACACACACACACACACACACACAATCAAAAAACTCCTAGAAGACAACATAAGAGAAAATCCAAGTGACCTTAGGCATGGTGGTAACTATTTAAATACAATACCAAATCATAGGTGGAGCTCAGGGGATTTTAAGGCAGTGAAACCATTCTATATGATACCATGATGATGAACATGTGTCAAAACATGTGTCAATACATTTGTCAAAACCCACAGAATGTATGATACAAAGAATGAATGAACCCTAATATAAATTACAGACTTTAGTCAATACTAGTAAATCAACATTGGCTCATCAATCATAACAATGAACCACACAGGGGAAGATGTTAATAATAGAAGAATTGTATATGTAGAGGGGGAGGGAAACACTTTTCTGCTCACTGCTCTAAAAAATAAATTCGGTTAATTAAAAAAAAGAACAGTGTATGATTTCCTATTTTCTAGGCTTGTTCATTAGGCAATAATTGCATTGACCTTCTAAGTAATTTTTATCTTAAATATATTACATGAAAAACTCTTTATTTTATTTTTCTAATCCTAGCTAGTTATTATATGTTACTTAAATTGTATTAAAGACATTTCTTCAGAAAAAAGTGTTGATGTTGAACTTGTAAAATAATTATGTAGAAGCTCTATTAATATGATGACATTTTAAAATTTTGTTTTAATTGTAGATGGTTACAATACCTATTATTTACTTATTTTTTAACTGATTAATGCCTCACACTGATGTACTAGAAAGCAATTTAGAACATTCATCTGTAGAAAAGTCTTATTTTCCATTTAGAGTTGCCTTTTTCTTTTACAGACAGTCACACATTCAGGGGAAGTTTGTATTTGGTGGATGGAGGATTGTATTTGTGAAAGCAGGATTTATCTGAATACTCCAGTAAGTGTGCCTGATAGATTTTTTTTTTTTTTAGTTGAATTCTAATTTGGTCTGCCTTCTATATTCACATTTCAGTAGTCTGGACAAATACTTGCTACTGAAGGTTTATTACATTTTCACCTTATAGCTTTAGAATAATCCTTGTGTACAGAGTCTATGCTGCATCCCAGAGAATGAAACATAGCATGTTATTTCGTTGTATAGGAAAGGATAATTTTTTCCCTGATAGCAGTTACTTCTGAAATCCTAGTTGTTTCTATCTCATTCATGCCACAGCTTCATTGTAGACCTGCAGGTGTCTCTTGTGTAGGCTCTTTGCAAGACAAGCTGAGGTTCCACCAGCAAAAAGCTTTAGTGCCAGGGCAAGGGAGGAAGAGTATGCTGGGGTGGGAAGGGGGGCGGTCATTGCTTTTACTCAGAAAAGAAATAGCCCCTTAACCATAGATAGGTAAATGGTCCTGCTTTACAAGGAGATCAGTTAGAAATGAAAGAAAATTACCACTCTAACCAGATAAAGCCAAAATTAAAAAGTAAGGGCTATTGGTTCAGTCAATTATAAAGAACAAAACTTGTCCGGCCTCATGCGTGCCTCAGTCCAGTCGCTCAAATCATATTACTCAAGGACCTGTTTCTCTCTATCTCCACCATATGCCTTTAGTTTTACTTTTGTCTCATTTAGTGGGCTGCAGATGCCACAGACTCCAACATTATACCTCATTGTCAGGGAAGAAGCTTCTCTTTTCTATCTATTGTTTTGATGATGTCCTGGAACTAATTAATATGGCTAAGGAAATGAGAAATGCTAATTGGCTTATGCTCAACCCCAGAAATGGGAGTGAGATCCATTCCACTCAACCCTGAAAATAGGGAAAGGTGGTTTCTCAGTGCATATGCAAGAAATTTGCCAGGAGGAGAGCGTATTATTGCAATAGAACGAACCACAACCTCCACAGCACCTGTCTCTGTGAAACCAACATGATACTGCATGTTCATCGTGTATTTTGCATAAAATAATGTTTTTAAAAAGGACCAAGAAACAATTGTAATGGTGTGACTTTTCTATTAATTATCATCATTTGCTACATTATGGAGTTCTAGATGTGCTATGGATCTTAGTAGGTCAGGAAGTCACAACCTTTCCCCTTTATAAAATTAAAATCTCAATTATAAAAGACTAAGTATCATACCTTATGTTAGAATATTACAAGATGCATAGGATACATAATTCCATGGTAAAAATGAAACTCTCCCTCAAAAGTAAAGTAAAAAAACTCTGGACTAAAAGACCATAAAACAGAAGACTCTGTAATCTGTGCAGCAAATGCTTATCTGTATTCATTTCTAGAACTAGATAAGATCTTACAAGTTCATCTGATCACATCTCCATTTACAGATGAGAGACTCAAATGCTTACCAATACCCCCAGGGCCCTATTTAACCTGGACCCATCCTGCTCCTCTTGGCCAAGGAGGGACACAGGCACCATCAGAAGGCCTCCACCAACTTCACAGAGCGCCAAACCAGGCCTTAGACATTCATGAGATCCAGCCTGTGCTGTGGAGGGGCACTGGGTTGTCCCTTTTGGAGGACACTACTGCCCTACAGAGAATTGATCCAGACAAGCCCAGTGATGCTGGGGCCAGATCTGCCTGCCTGTGCCACTGTGAACCCAGTGGTCTTCAGGGAGCCTGGCTCAGCACCACAATAGCTACACACCAGCAGCTTTCCTTGATGACACCTTCAAGGATACAGAAGACTCCTCTGGCTAGTGCTATACTTCTTTAGATTAACACTTTTGCCCTGGGATGGAGGAGAGTTTCAGGTGATTATTTGGGGAACACACACACACACACACACACACACACACATTAAGAAGTTTCATAAAATCTCTCAGGTAAAATAAAGATTAATAAAAGCCCACTAAAATTGCATTCTAATGGGGCAGGACACCAGGTACTCATATGAGCTTTGTCACAGCTATGGGATCCTAGGCAGTTGATTTACTCCTTGGCCCCTGTTTACTATTCTGCAAAATGATGATTTCTTAAGTTCTTTTTCAGTCCTAATATTCCACAAAGAATAATCACAGATAAGTTAAACATTTCTGAAATATTTAATATTTAAAGATTCCTTAAATATTATAGGAGTTAATTTATTCTCTTAGACATTGTATTCTATATAAATAATTTGAAATAAACAGGGATCTCTTATGCCCTTCTTTGAACTGACATAGTTATCTTCTTAAGTCTTCCTCCATCATACCAGCACTCCAAGATCTACATTACTTGGAGAAAAACAGTTGTTTTTAAAAATCACATTCTACAAAAATGTCTAGAAGATTCTAGAAATTAATTTTAAATATTTTTATTATTTTGGTCTATTTTTTTCACAATCATTTAGATAGATGATTGACATAATCATTTTAACATCATTTAGAGATTAAAATGATGCTATGGTTTAAAGTTCCAGAAACCTCTTTATATTCTATCATTCTAATTTTAGCAAAATAAGATGTACAAGGGCTGGGCTTATGGCTCAGTGGTAGAGCACTTGCCTAGCATGTGTGAGGCACTGGGTTCAATTCTCAACACCACATATAAATAAATGAATAAAATAAAGGTCCATCAACAACTAAACTAAAAATTTTTAAAAATAATATGTACAGATTCCTGTGACTGCTTATATAATTGGAGAGCTCAGGAGGCTTGAGTCTGTAATTTGAAATAAGTACCACACCACATACCACACTTACTACTCTCATTCTGCAGGATTTTCAAAAAATTGTAGACATTTTTTTGTTTTGCTGTGATTGTTTGTTTTTTGGTGCAGAGAATGGAACCCAGGGCCTTGAACACACTAAGCATAGCTCTCACAAGGAGCTACACCCCAGCCCCATAGACTTCCTACCTGCAGGAAAGCAGGCTTCATTTTGTGGGTTTTCTCTTCAACAGACCACAGCCCTGGCTTGCTCTCCCTCCTCCCACTCCGCTGTTGTGGGGACTGTGGATGGTTACGTGTACTTCCTGGATGTCCAAGAGGTGGACTCCCCTGGGGTGATCCACAAGGCCTTCCTCTCCAAGTCTGCTGTGCAGCACCTCATGTGAGCACCTCCTCCTCCTGGCACGCTTCTGTCAGCCTTCTGTTGAGGATTCCAGCAAGACCATCACTGTTTTGAATCTTGAGTTTTGCGTGTTTCATTTGCTTTTCATATAAAACCTTCATTTGGTTCAGTGTTCACAAGGTACAGAGGGGTGTGTATGGAAAGTTCCCCGAACACCAAGTTCTCTCCCTGGAGGCAGCCTGTTACGAATGTCCTGTGTCCCTTTCCAAAGGCATTTTATCCATAAACAATTGCAAAAATAAGCACTTCTTTGCATTAGTGAATAATTATCGAGTGCTCACTCGTGCCAGATGCTTCTGTTACAGCTGCTCCTCCCTCCATTTTACAGGTGAGGATGATGAGGCATGAAGAGTTTAAACAGGCAGCGGCATGTGTTGGGATCAGAGACCAGGCCTCTGGGCCTCAGAGTCGCTGCCACTGCTCTTAAAGGGAGCAAACTACGCAGTGTTCTGGATCTTGTTTTATTTTTCACTTATTTATTTTCACTACTCCCCAAATAGTCTATCTTAGAGAATTTTTATGTCCACATAAAGACCTTCCTCATTCTTCTTTATAGCAGCATAGGATTCCATTATATGAACATTTCAACATTTAAAAAAATAACAATATGTTAATACACATTCAGATTGTTTAAAGTCTTTTAAAGCATTATTTTTAAGAAGACAGTGTAGATACATTGTATTTGAACTTAAAAGCTATTGTTATTATTGCTCTTTCTTTTTAAAATTTATCAAAACAGTAAATATTACACACTGACATTTGTGCCCTGCTTGACAGCTTATTGGAGTTCATTGGATGGGACCCTTAAGGAAGTCTGCTTGTCTCTGCTGGACAGATTAGGGGATTCAGGTCCAAAGAGGCATAGAGAAGACTTTGCTGAAGGTTTTGCAGGCAGCGTGGAGGAGCTGGTTTCTGCCCTCTGTGCTGTTGCTGCAGAGCATCCAGCCCGGCCTGCTGTCACCAGCCAGCTATCACCTCCCCACTCTACTCTGCTCTTCTGTACCATGGTATTTCCTGGGTGCCTCTTCTTTCTCAGATCTACTTCTCTTATTCTGATTTGTCTCTCCTCACTTTTTCTAATTTGAGGGACTAAAGAGATGTTTCACCACATCCTCCTCCTCCTGCCACAGACCAGTCATGGGGTACTGAATGTCACACCCAGCCCTAATTTGAGAATGGCTTATTCCCACTTGAAATAACAAGAAAGCTCTATTGACTTACTTTATTCACTTACAATGACACAGCTGTCCATGTTTCGGGCATCTTCCCGTGTGGAAGGACATCTTCATGTCCTCCGTGGTATGGGTGTAGAGCACAGGGGTTACGTCTACCTGTGATTGCTTGGCTTTCACAAGGTCAGAGACTTATTAACTTATTAACTACCATTGGTGACGGGTTTTGAGCATATCTCCTTGGCCACACATCCATAAGCTTGTTCACTATCTCTCTGGTGAAGCAAGTAGGATCTGATCATTAGATTTCTTCTTTCTAGTTTTGACCAGCGAGGAATATTTCTGTTTGTTGGATCCTCAGAAGGAAACATCTTTATTATGAATGCCAATCCTTCAAGCTCATTTGAGATCCTAGGATTCGTAGGTATGACATAATATGTATTAATTTAAAATACCATTCACTGTATTTCAAAGAATTTCATGTTAGAAAAATAGAACTATAGCAAAATAATTATTTGTATTATGTTTTTAAAAATAGAAACATTTAGATAACAGTCATTTAGGAGGATCCCCACATTATATGTAGAGGTATTTGCTGTGTTAGAGTTACCTGCTTATCTGATGCTAAAGAAATTTCTTGAATCAAGTATTGAGTGTGGCTGAATATTTCTGATGTATATTTTAAGGAGAAATAAGGATGGTTTCTCCCTGAAATATTTTTTAAATGATATTTAGATGTTTATTATTTATTTAAGAACTAATTCTTTTCTCTCTGGCTTTAAGTACCAAACATGTATATATTCCCTCAAAAACATTTTCTAAATTCATTCATGAATTTCTAAGAATTTCAAGTGCCTAGTAAGAGCAAAATGCTAAATCTAGGCATGTGGGAAATGAAAAGGTCAAAAAGACAACTTAGTGAGGGGAGAACAAAGCAAAGTTCTGCATTGGCCCAGAGGCAGAGCAATTAATTCTCCCAGGTGTGAGGGAAGGAGGTAAAGCTGTGCACAGGTATGGAGGTGAAGATGGTAAAGGGAGGGTTTTCCAAAGAAAAGTAGTGAGCTCTGAGGATTCCATAGGTGTGGGATGGGATGTATTAATATTACAGCTCAAGATAAAAAATTTTAATAAAGTCTGATATAACAGGGAAATGGAAGAGTTTATTAGAAGGTGCCCATGACAATTAAGTGTAAAAGATGACAAAGGTCCCTGAATATCGTTCCAAGGACTCTGAAATTTGTTCTGTGCTCAGTGAGACATCATCAGAAATTTCAAGATGGAACTGACATGATTTGGCTTTGGCTTGGTCTTCAGAGGATGACTCAGGCATGCATGTGAAGGATATAGTAGAAAGAAAAGAGAATGGATTAGAGAAATGAATAAGGAAGCTGTAATAGTAGTCAAGACAAGAGATAACAATACTCAATCATAATAGCAGCTGGTGTTTATTGAGGGGTGCCTTGCTATGTGATAGCAAGTTTTCTACGGTGTGTGTTAACTCCATTAGCAACTCTTGTGAGATAGATGACTGTTGTTATTCACTTTTTATAGATGAGGCAATTGAGGCACAGCAAGGTTAAGTACTTGTTCAAGATCACACAGGTAGGTAGTGGAAGATTCAGGACTCAAAGACCAACTTCAGGTCATGTGCACAATGCACAAACCCATGCAGTGTCTTGGAAAGAGAGAAGAGGAAAAACTCTGAGTGATGGGATTGGTAGGACTTGGTATTTGATTATATGTGAAAAGGAGGTGTGTTAGCTTCCCAGTCCTATAACAAATACCTGAGATAAATCAAGTTATAAGAGAAAAGGTTCATTTGGGCTCACAGTTTGGGAGGCTTCAGTCCATAGTCAGTCCCATAGCTTTTGGGCCTGTGGTGAGGCAGTACATTTTGGCCAAGAGCTGCTCACCTTAGGGTGTTTGGGAAGAAAAGGAAGACAGAGGAAAGAATTGGGGTCCCAATGTCCTCTTCAGGGCATGCCCCCAGCAACCTAACTTCCTTCCACTGAGCCTTACCTCCTAAAGATTCCACCCTTCCCAATAGCACCACAGGCTGGAAACCAGGACTTGACCCCAGAGTCTCTGGGGGAAACAAATACAAACCACAGCAGGAGAGACCAGCATTTACTCCAAACTTTCTAACCTGGATAGTGGAAGTTTGTGGTGTCATTAATTTGAAGAAGAAGATAGGTTTTGAGGCTTAAATTCTGTATATTTGAAGCCAATAAGCAATTCATTTTGGGATATTTAGCATTAGTTTGGAGATAGAAATACACAGTTCAAGGCTTGATGATAGAATTCTGATCTTGAAAGCATGAACGTTGATTAGTGAAGCAAATCTGAATGTTTACTGGAGTCAAACAGGCAATCTCAATATGTCAATTAGATGGCACCTAGTGTGGTAGATCCTGTGACCAACCTCAGAGTGGACAGATACATGCTGCCTAAGTATCTCACTTCTTAACATCTTTCCTTGGCCAGTGGGTGGGATGAGAAACTGGGAATGGAACACTAGTCTGTTTTGCATTGAAGGTGTGGACAGAGGAAGAGGAGGCAGTGGAGAAAACTGAGGCTGGGTCAGAGTAATGAGAAAAAGCCCTGCCCCACCAAAAAGCATGAGGAAGGTGGGCTGGGTGAAGGTACAGCTGTGACTGGTGTGAGTGCTGCAAGGATGATCTGCAGGGGACCTCTGAGAGACAAAGAGGTCAGGGAGGGACTAGAGGTAAGAAAATGGAGTGATTAAATGTCAAGACTATTTTAGGAAGTTTACCCAGGATGGAAGAATCAGATACCAAACTGAAGGGAAGCAGAGTTGAAGGACAGTTCTTATCAGAAGACAGAGCAGAATAGAAGGAGACTTGGGGACACAAGACCAAAGAAGTGATTGAGCTTGGTGGGTGTGGGGGTGCCACTGTGGCACACACCTGTGATTTCAGCAATTCAGGAGGCTGAGACAAGAGGATTTCAGGCTCAAGGTCAGCCTAAGCAACATAGCAAGACCCTGTCTCAAAATTAAAAATAAAAAAGGCTGGGAGTATAGCTCAGTGGGGTATATAGCTCATTGAAGGGGCTCCCCTGGGTTTAATCCCTACCACAGACAAACAAGAGGTGCTTGATAGTGCAAGGTCCAATTGGATTTAGAGGGGTAGTCTCAAAATCACAGATGGAGCCTGAGATTGATTCCTGCCTCATTATGGAAATAAAGGAGGAGGAACAAAACAGCAAGAAGATGAGAGAGTCAGGATAAGAATCTTGAGGCTGAGTTTGAGTGAGATGGCCTTGATCTTCCTGTTGAGGAACAGGTAAGGGCATGCATCACCTGCACATCCGGGGAAGGGGCTGAAAAGGGGGACAGCTGCAGTATCACCCCTCCGAGATGGAGAGGTAAGTGTGGAGTGAACCCACAGTGGACTGCAGGCATAATATGCCTTGCTGATGTACAGATGCAAAGAACACCAGTGCCTGAGCTCATCCAATATTTAGAGTGGGCAAACTCGGCTGGGGCTGTAGCCCAGGGTAGAGTGCTTGCCTTGCATGTGTGAGGCACTAGGTTGGATCCTCAGCACCACATAAAAATAAATAAAGATATTTGTCCATCTACAACTTAAAAAGTTAAAAATAGAGTGGGCAAACTGGCTGGAGTGCCTGTGCCAGGGCACAGGGCACACAGGGGGCAGATGGGTAGAGATGATAGACTCTGGAAGCCACCCCAGATGGGAAAGAAGCTAAACCAAGCTGGGGGCACTCTGATGATCTAGATATAATCAGGGAAGATCTTCCATCAGTTCATCAAAAATGTTTTTTTTTTAAAGGTGAGCATCTTTTTTTTTTAATATTTACCTTTTAGGTGTGGATGGACACAATACAATGCTTTTATTTTTAATGTGGTGCTGAGGATCGAATCCGGGCCCTGCCCATGCTAGGCGAGCCCTCTACTGCTGAGCCACAATCCTAGCCCCATCAAAAATGTTCTTGTCACTTATGTTTAAAAGTCACTGGATATACTGGTAAATAAATTTGGTTCTAAAGTTTGTATAAAGGCAAGTCTATAATGTGATATCATAATTGGGGATGGTAAGAAGTTCTGACCACAGGAGCATTGATTTCCATTTGCTTTCAGAGGTGAGCAAGGACATTCTACAAATATCCACGGTGTCTCTTTTGGAAGTAGACGTGGTACAAGTATTGGTGCTTTCTTCACTTCCAGATGCAGAAAAAAGCAGGTTGGAATTATTTACTGTGCCCAAAATACTACCAACAGGTAAAGAAAAACCGACAACCCAACCTATTCTATCTTTGACTCAGCAAAAGTGTTGTTATAGTTGTTTTGGGGTCTTTTTTTTTTCTCCTAATTACATCATTTGTGAAGAGGTAAAATGGCTATTTTTTGTGCATCTTTACAAAGTTAAACTGATGTGACTGTGGAACAACCTGAAATGTGCATTTCCCTCTAGACCTTGTAACTCATGAGTCTACTTTATTAGCAAAGAAAAGAAAAAGGATCAAATGACACTATGTCATTTTGTGATGTCTCTTGTTTTTGTAGCTCTAAACATATATAGTTAAATTCAGACTCTTTACAGTATAGTTACCTTCACTGTTAATTTTTTTTAAAGAGAGAGTAAGAGAGGCAGAGAAAGAGAGAGAGAATTTTAATATTTATTTTTTAGTTCTCGGCGGACACAACATCTTTGTTTGTATGTGGTACTGAGAATTGAACCCGGGCCGCACGCATGCCAGGCGAGCGCGCTACCACTTAAGCCACATCCCCAGCCCAATATAAATTATTTTTTAAAACAACAAAAAAGTTTTACTTCATCTTCTCATAGTTCCAAGAGCATTTCCTACTATGAGTTTATATTTGTATGCCATTTAGAATAGTGTCTGAGATACACAAAATATTCCATAAGGGCTTGAGAAATAAAATAAAATACAGAGATAGTCTTTGCTTATACACTAATATACCCCTACTTACAAAATTCAGATTTATTGATGTCTCACTAATAAATTACAAAGAAAGTTATCTGGGTGAAAAATTATGAGAAAATAGATACTTTATTTGTTTTAGATGACAAATATATTTGGGTAGCAATTTTACAAATAAATGATTATAGAGTATAAGAGAAAATCTCAAAGAATATTTTGTTTTAATTAGGAATCTCTATACTATGTACGTTTATTTTATTTTTAAAATTTATTTATCTATTTATTTTTTGGTGCTGGAGATTGAACCCATGGCACTTTAACACCGAGCTACATCCTCAGCCCTTTTTATTTTGAGACAGGTTCTCACTAAGCTGCTTAGGGTCTTGCTAATTTAGAGACTGGCCTCAAACTTGTGATCCTCCTGCCTCAGCCTCCTGAGTTGCTAGGATTACAGGGTGTGCCACCCTACATGACTCATATATTTATTTACTGATGTGTCTTTAAGTTAATTGATAAAATTACTAAGACCAGCAAGAGATTTTACTCATCAGTCATCAGTATTTTTAGTATAGATAAATTGTTTTAAAATCATTTTCATAAATGAATAGCCTCTGCAATATTAAGTGAGCATTTAAAACTTTTATTTTGCTTTTCATAATTGTTAATAATGATAAAGAATAAAATCAATATATGGTATAAATCACCTCTCTTCTTCCTCAAATCCTATAGTTTCTGAAAGCTTCACTGATGAAAGAGGGAAACTGAAAGAGGAGCTGATTCATTTGAACCTGTATGAGATGGAGCACACTCTGTCCTCTGCAGTCTTGGACTTTCAAAGTAACCAAATATATGGCTTCTGTAATCAAGCACCGTACATCTGTAGCTATCTTCTTCCTGAAAAAGTATGCCAAAACTCTAGCATGCTATCACTCACCTTAGCAATCAATATTGACAATGTGCTATTTAGACATGATCCTCTTGTCTGCTTTAACAGAATAGTTCAGTTAATAAAAGGCTTTATTGTATTAATACACTGCCCTTGAATTAGATAATATTAGTGTTACTTGTTAATCCAGCAAAAAATACCTCTGAGCAAGCTCACGCTCATGCTGCATATGTCACACTTGCCAGATAACCCAATGAAGATGACCCAATATTGGGTTAGTTGCTTAAAAAAAAATCTAGCATTAGAAAATCTATTCCATAGATGCCAAGGGCTAGAGGATGGGTAATTTTCAGTGGAACTCGGTGCCTGATCTGTAAGCAAAATAACTGAACTATGTTCCTAACATCCTTTCATCACTCTCTTTGAACTTCTTCCATGTTGTGTCACCTTCTGCTCTGCACACTGTCCCAGTGACCCTCTGCTTGCTGCCCCTTAGCTATTCAGTGTCCCACTGAATGGGTCCCAAGAGTATCTCCCACCTGTCTCAATTCAATCAAAAGCCCTTCTCTCTCAGAGTAGACAGCATTGGACATAGAAATTGCAAGAAGAAAGAAATGGTTCATGGAAAAGGGAATTCAAGAAAATTTCATGAGCAATATTTGAACTGGACTTTGAAGAACAGGTCAGATTAAGACGTGGAGAAGTAATATGAGCTGTCTAGGGGTAGATGCTGATATAAGGAGATGGGAAGGACTGGTGGGGATAAGGTGGAAAAGGACATTTCAGACCAAAGAAGGACATGTGAAAGGCTTGGGGGGGGAATGCAAGAGACACATAGGAGGTATAGCCACTACCTTATTTTATTCATGTATTTATACCAGGGATTGAACCCAGGCATGCTTAACCACTGAACCACATCACCAGCCCCCACCGCCCCCCCCCTTTTTAAATTTTATTTAGAGACAGGGCCTTGCTAAGTTGCTGAGGCTGGCTTTGAACTCACGATCCTCCTGTCTCAACTTCCTGAGCCACTGGGATTATAGATATGTGCCATCACTTCTGGCCTCAACTACCTTATTTTGACTTTTACTAGGATTTATAAAAATTATTGGCAAAAATAAAGATTGTCAGTGTCAGCTGAATCTTTAGAAGCAGACTACATATGAAGACTTTGCTTAGCTAGCAAAACAAACTTTTATTTGCAAACAAAGTATGTGTTACATGGTAGGTACAAACATGAGCACCTACTTTATCCCATACTAATTCATTTCTAAGAACAGCATTTGTGATTTAAATATGAGTATGTATGCAAAATGCACATCTGTAAACATGAATTTGCTATTCATCTAATCTTTTCTATAATATGGTTCTTTTCTTTGATTAGCAGGAAGATACCAAGGTTTGTATTCTTAAGCCACACCAAAAAGTGCAAAGCAAGCATTATGGAACTGGAATGCTCTATCTATCTTGGCATGGATTGTGGCTCATAACAATAGCTAAATGTGGAATTCTGTGTATCCGAGATATTTATACTTTGGTAAGCTCCTTAAAAAAAAAGTATGCAGTGTGTATATTGATTTCAGATAACTAACAAAAGTCCTTAGAAGACAAACCAGAACTTTTCCTTGTTCATTGACTCAACTTTTTCTTATCACTGATGGAATTAATGACTTTGACTTTTTTTTTTTTCCTTAGTACCAAGGATTGAACCCAGAGGTGCTTAACCACTAAGCCACATCCTCAGCACTTTTTATTTTTTATTTTGAGGCAAGGCCTCTCCAAGTTGCTTAGGGCCTGCTGAATTGGTGATCTTTGAACTTGTGATCTTCCTGCCTTGGCCTCCCAAGCTGCTGGGATTACAGGTGTGCATCACCACACCTGGTTTTACAAGTGTCTTGATATACCCTGGTTTGAATCTTGAAGGGAAGAAACTCCCACCAGGAAAAAGAGATCTGCAAACATAGAGCACTAGGCAGGGCACTACCTAATTCTGCAATCAGCTAGCTGTGTCTTAGAAATTCACTGAGCTCAAGAGAAGTTCAGGTGCTCAGCCAGGAAATCAGGAAAGTCTCAAAGCTCTGCCCTATCAGTAGTGGGGGGAACTGTTTTAGAAATGGTGAATTACTCTGCAAACATGCTACCCCCTGGCTTGAAGAGCCTTGCCTGGCTTGCTGCTGCCCCACTGTCCCTTCACACTGGAATTGCACAAAGGAGCAGGGTTGGCCCTGATTCAGTCCTCCACCATCACTTGCAAACTCAATCACTACCACTACTATTTTTGATTTCCATTGTCCTTAGACCTCTGAAAAGGTGAAAGTAGTTGCCTTTCCCCAAAAGGTAGGTGATATTTTTCTAGGTTTTGGGACTGTGATTTTAAGGAATGATTTGCAAACTGCTACACTGTCAACTAGTGAAACAAGATGTAATGTATGGTATATCTGACAGTGGCATGACATGGCAAGATATTAAGATGTTCTGAGTGACTGTATTGATTGTTTTGAATCAGGTCATCCACGGCAGTACTATTTGTAAAACAGAGGGTTAAATAAATAAAGTTATGATGGTACAAAATTAGTTCATAAATAAAATATGGAATATTAAGCAGCTATGATACAGAATGAGGAGATCGTTACATAAGAACATGGAAAATATTCCAATATATATTGATCATTAAGGGGAAAAGCAACCTTGTATATATACATATTATAATTTATGTAAGAAAAATTCATATTGCATAAAAATCTGTTTGTATACATGTAAAAAAAACTCTGAAAGAATATTGATGGTTCTTGTTACATTGATTGCCTTTGGAAGGAGGTATTAGGACATGGGGATAGGAGGGAGATTCCATGTCATACACTTACAGTTTTAAAATTTTTGAACTATTGCCTATTCAAGAAATTAAATGAAAAATGGATCATTCTTGAGAAACAGCATGAAAAATCATAGTTTTCAGACAGGAAGCTTAAACAGTTGTTCTGTGTGACACATTGGTGGGTTGTGTGTGTGCTGTTTTTGGATTTTTTTTTCCCAATTGGTTTAATGAGCATCCTCCAAGGGCTATTGTGTATCTTCCAGCTTCTCACCCTCTCTCCTGGGTGCTCAACTGCTTTGCACATCAATGGAACCTGCCTGACTGTGTTGACTATTTTGAAGGCTTCTGAATTTGCCACCTCGGCTTGCTCAAGGCCCCACCCCTGCCTGACTCCATAGCCTTCAGCAGTTCCTTCACTTCCCAATGCCTCATTGCCAATCATAAATCTGTGACAATAATATCTCTCCTTCCACCCTATTGGGAGAATAAATCAGTGCTAATAAATGAGTTTAAACTAGGGACACATTACTATGAACTACATCCATACCAACTGAAGTGCTATTAGCAAATAGAAAAAGATTTACCCACAGGCTGAAGTACATGTAAGCCTGTTAGGAAAGCCACGTGTAGAAGTGCATTTCTAATTTCTCCACTTTGTTCCTAAAACTATTGAGGAAACATTTGCTCGGTGTCGGAGTCATTCTCATCAGGCGCATGGGATTCAGTCCATGAGAATTTCAATGGATGGACAAAGTATTCTGGTGAATGGGAAAGATGACAGCACCCTGGTTTACCTAAAATGGAAGTACGTATGGTATACAGTAAGCAATCCATTTGGTATGATGTTTTAAAATATGGATTTTATTATTAAGTACAGCAAGGCCAATGTAAAGGAATTTGGCTGCTATTGCAAAGATAGGCTCTTATGCTCACAGATTCCTAGAAGAAAGGGCACACCATGCTATAAGGCCATGCAGGAAGCACAAGGGTGGGCCAGGAGGCTGAGAGAGTAGAGAAAGGTGGGCAAGAGCCTTGGTTTCCAAAGTAAGAATCAGGCAGGTTTGGGACAGGCTAGTTTGAATAATATCAGCAGGTGCTGGGACCTAATAGCTGCCCCTAGGTGTCTGGGACTTGGTACTGGGGCTATTAGGAAAGGGAAATGATGACCCTGAGTGTGAGAGCCCCTGAGGGGGTCGCTGGGCTATGGTGTCTACATTTGAAAGGCCTACTCCTGGCTAGTGGTTACTATCTCCAGGAATTAGATAGCTCTGGAAGAGGTATTCCCCAACAGGGTAATCAAGCCCCAGATATCAAAGCATTAAATTCAAAACATAAAAATGGCATAATTAGGCAGCCAGGTGCAGTGGTGCATACCTGTAATCTTAGCAGCTCGGGAAGTTGAGGCAGTAGGATTGCAAGTTCAAAGCCAGCCTCAGCAAAAGCAAAATGCTAAAGCAACTCAGTGAGAGACTGTCTCTAAATAAAATACAAAATAGGGCTGAGGATGTGGCTCAGGGAATCAGTGTCCCTGAGTTCAATCCCAAGTACCAAACACTAAAATAAATTAATTAAAAAATAAATAAATAAATAAATAAAGGTATAGTTTTATTTAGATGACTTTAAAAACTCCTATTTGTCTCCCAAGAAACCTCACATGTGTGTATGTACACATACAAACACATTTACTTATCTTGCTTAGATGATATTAAATTATATAGAGTTAATTTGTTTATATTCAAGTTAAAATTCTAAATAAATATTACCCAAACATATGGATGATGACCAGGGGGTAGAAAACATGAAGTTGACACAAAAAAAGACAGACTGGACTTTAAATGTTGCCTTGTTAGATCTACTAATGGACATCATTCATTAATGTGCCATTGATCCTCATGATTAAAACTGTAATAAAACAGTCTTTTGTGGCAACATTGTGAAATGTTAACTATTGCAGAAGTTTGTATCATAACACTTTTGGTAGCCATTTATTTCAAGAGTTCATTTGAAGACTGTGTCTTCATGACAATTTTGTACATGGAAACCTAAGTAAAACATAAACTTGTATCTTACTAAATGTTAAGTCCCACCAGGCCCACATGCTTGTAATTTCTGTGGTTTGGGAGGCTGAGGCAGGGGGATTGCAGGTTCAAAGCCAGACTTAGCAACTTAGCAAGATCCTGAGCAACTTATTGAGACCCTGTCTCAAAATAAATATAAAAAGGGTTGGGGATGTGGCTCAGTGGTTAAGAGCCCCTGGGTTCAATCCCTGTGTTTAAAAAAAAAAAAATCCTAACATATCCTTTATAGTCAGTGGGCAACAGCAGAGGGGTGTTCCCACTGTTCATAGAGGGAAGCTTCCATCTGTCAGTCATCACCTGAGCTCTGGCTCAGAACACAGCTGGGTTTGAAACTTTAGTCCAGGACTAATGAGCTTATGACCTTAGGCATGTGACATCTCCTCGAAGTCATCTATAAAAAATGTTACTCGAGGAAGGGTCTGTAGCTTCTACAAGATTGCTAGAAGTAGATGTTCTTAGGCCCATCTAGACTTTCTGAATCAATAGAGTCTGCAGATGCACCCAGGTATGCGTTTTCACAAGCCCTCAGGGTGAAGCTGACTTGCCCTGATGTGCTGCAGAAGTAATCCCCCACCCACCCAGGGAATGGGCTCTGCGGGCCCAGAATGGTAACGTGATATCATAAGTGGAGCAGTACAGTATCTGGTGCTTTCTGAGGGCTCAGCAGATACAGTGGCTCTTCTGTGCAGTAGCCAGGGCAGGCTCAAGGGCCATGATGGGTGAGGTGATAGTGATAGGGAAAACATGAGGAAAAGTCACCGGAGAGAGGTCAAGAGACTTTTGTCCTGGAGCCTGCTGAAAGGCTTCTCCTCTAAGGAGTGGAGTCCTACTTACTACAGGACACTGTGGAGAATTATCTATGTTTCTTTGTGCGGGGATGATTTGGTATCTAGAAATAACATTGCTAAATATGAATTTTTAAAATTGTGATATTGTAACCTATGTGTTTTCTTTCTTCTTAATATAGGCGCACTGGAGGAATTTATGGCGATGAATGTATTGATTATTTCCAGAAACTACTTACATTTCTGAGCAAGACCATAGCAGAGGAGAATTATTATTTAAACTCTCCAAGAGTTTCTTTAGATTTGGGATATGACTTTAAATATTCAGTTGAGTTCCTACTAGCTTGCTTGCTTGTTTCTTTCTTTGTAAATCATATAGAACTCTTCTATGTTTGCTTTCATGATGTTGACATTCCATTTAGGGACTGAATAAATAAACAAGAAAAAGTTAGGGCATGATAAGTGCTTTTCAGTGAATAAAAAGAGGTTAGTATGATAGTGTTTGGCTAGCCAGCTTCTTCTCCAAGGAAAGACCTTTAAGCTGAGATCTGCACTGGAGGAGGGGCCAGGGACTGGGGGACAGCAGACCTCTGTGTAGAGGAGCAGAGCTTGGCATGAGGTGTGAGCACCTACAAAAGTTTAAGCCATTCAAGTGAGCAAGGGAGAAAGTAGTAAGAAAAGAGGTCCTTGGGGGCAGAGGGATGGTGAGACCAGGTGAGGAAGCCCTTGTAAGCCAGGTAGAGTGTGATTTATTTTGCATGTAGTGAGAATCTATTGAAGTGTTCTAAGCAGAGGATTAACAAGACCACCTTTACATTTTTTGAAATGATTAATTGCCTCTGAAAGGAGGTTTCCTGTAGGAGACAAGGATGGAAGTGGGGAAATTGCTCAGGAGGCCATGTAGGGGTCCAGTTAGCAGTGATGGCATAGAGGAGAGAAGTGATGAATTCTAGTCAGTTTCAGAAGTAGAGTTGATGGAACTCACCAAGGGGCTAGACTTAGGAGAAAAGAAAGGACCCAAGGACAAGTCAGATTATTTCCTTTGAACAATTATGTAGAAGATGGTACCATTCATGGGAATGGGGCAGACTGTGGGGAAGGGAGCAGCTGTAGGGAGAAAGATGGAGCTTGAGAAGCCTGTTCAACGCGTGAGTGGAGATGCCAAGCAGGTTGTTGGATAGATGAGCCTTGAGTTCTCGGGAGAGGCCAGAACTAGAGATGTCAATTGAGGGTCAAGGCATGTGGGTGGAATTAAAAGCCAAAAAACTAGGTCAAAGTCATGATGGGAAATGAATGGAGAGAAGCACAAGAGACCAGACAGGAGCAACTCCTAGAAAGTCAAGCCTAGGGAAGAGTACAGGGAAGCAAAGGAGAACGAGGGGGTGGCCAGTGAAGTCACAGGAGAACCAGGAGGGACAAATTTTGCTACAAAGAGGAACATGAAAATGGGGTGACAGTCAAAAGGAAGCATGCCTGTCATTCAAGAGTAGTTTTTAAGAGATTATCTTTGGATACTGTTGGAAGAGATCCAATAGAAAGGAGAAATGGATGCTACAGGAAGATGGCAGGTAGAAAGTATAAAGACCTCAAGGAGGAGAAGAGGAGGATTGTAAGCACAGATGGCAGAGCTTGAGAACACATGGAACCACAGTAAAAGGAAGGAGACAAGAGCGATGTGGTAACCCTGTGACCTGGGTGATTATTTCTGCCTTCAGTAACTTTCTCAGTCACTTGCAAAGTAGCAGTTAGACTAAAGCAAGGTGTCACAAAGGTGTTATTTCACATACACTTCCTATTTTTTGTCTTTAGAATGTTTCAATTTCTGTAAATAAGGACAGACTGGTAGGAATTAAATGAATAAAATGTAGCATCTTAGTCAAGTAAATGTCTAGTTTTTTAATGCAACAAATGCAAATGGATTGGATGCAGTTCTATGAAGTAAACTGGAAGGAGAAGAACTCAATGAGTTTTTAATATAAGAAACGTCTATCTTCTTCTAAGATTGACTCGTCACAAGAAGAATTAGCCACTGAGGAGAGTAAGAAGGAAATTCCCTGGATACAATGGAAAAGCCAAGAGGTATTTATAAAATGTTGGACAGGTTTGAAATAATGCTCTGTGGTGTGCAAATAGATTAGGTTCTAAAAGAAACCTAGTGCAAAGAAGACTGAATGAGACACCACTTGACAGGGTGTTGTATCACTGCAAGTGTAACTTTCCTAAACACAGCCCAGTCTTTTAGATTAAGTTCATGAGCTTTAGGGACTTGGCTAACATAAAACCTGACAAAAGTGTCCAGGTAAGCTAAAACAGAATGAACTGTGGTGCCCCATTTCCATGGAAGTTTTTGGGGAGTGCCCACCTTGAAGCAATGGGGTGGGCTTCTAGTGTCATAAAAGAGACTTAGGCAATGGGCAAAGGGTAGATCTTATCTGAATTCAGCCTGCTTGTCAATTTTCACTCAAGTTCCCAAAGAGCCCATCACTTTTCCTTGGTCAATTAATCACTATTTAATTTTTCACTATTTAATTATTTTCTTTCCATTGGCATCAGTTTTGAGATGCTTCAATAGTCCCTTCATAGTACAGTTAGATTTAAGCAAAGTGTCACAATGGCTTTATTTCATGGATGTGTTTATTATTCATCTGGTAGTGTTTTATTTCTCTTTCTAGAGAAGGACCATCTACCTATCTAACTAAGCATGTATCATTTTTCCCCCTACCATTTCTTTTGCTTTGTTGAGTGATGTTCTTGCTCCATTTCAGGCAGTCGAAAAGGAAATTAAAATGTTTTCCCAGAAAAGGAAAGAGATAAGAAGAGGAATCAAAGAACTTGCTAAAACTGTAAGTGCTGTGATTTCTTACACTAATCCACTTGACCTATTGTCTAAGATCACTTTTCAGACTTCATTTTGTCTAGCACAATAGGAAGCCACACCCTTTTTTTCCTCTGCCTACAAGCTGAAGTTTCTGGGGTACTTTGACAGTTGAATTTTTCCCATATTACACTCTATCTAAATAGTGTCTTCCCCAAATGCCCTATTTTACATGATATTTTCATACTTATTTTTATCAAAGTTATACATTTACATATTTATTAGATAACAAGTAACATAATCAAAAATGTCTTAAAAGCAGCCTCTGCCCTTCTTCTCCCTGCTCTGATTCCTGTACTTCTGAGATAGCTGTTTTTAATTTTTCCACTTTTTCTTTTGGCTCTTTACCTCCAGGTTTCTAAACAGCCATCTTAATACTGTTATTTCTTGAGATTTCAATTTGGATGCTAACTATGAGCTTGCTAGTATAAAAGAAGGTGGATTCTATTATACACACACACACCATACAGATCAATCCATCTCAGTATACACACTATTACAGTTATGTAAATCTTCAAACATGAGCATGAGTTATACTGTGTATTATGATTACATATCTATTTTTTCAACTTTTTCTTGGAATTGCCTTTTTTTTGGATTAAGCCTATGCACTTATTACCTATTTAAACTCCTGATATGCTAAAAAAACAAAAAAACAAAACAAAACAAAAACTCTTCTCAATACAAATACCTGAGGTAATTATTCAGATGATGGTATGCTCTTATTTTTTTCAAACTCCCTTCTACAGCTTTCCATCTTCTGGCTCCAGTCTAAGCCCCTTGCTCTCAAGGCCAGGCACTCTCAAGGCCATCTTCCTGGGAAATTCTCTTATCTGCCTCCTGAGTTGGAAGCCCTATTTCCTGGGTCCTGAGTATTTTTGTTTTTGTTTTTGTTTTTCCTTGGCATGCATCTTCCAGTAGTTTCCTCAGCAGGACCTCTGTTCAAGGCTTGGGAACATACTTCAGAGCAGAACTGTGCTTCTTGGATGCCATTCAAATGTAATCCAGCATGAATAGTGGCTGTCCCTAGAGATGCACTGTGCTTTGGTGCTGTTCTTGAAAAAACATACAGGTGAAAAATATTGTGTGAAATTTGGTTTTTCTTAAAATGTCTTTATTCTGCTCTCATATTTCTTCAGTGGTTTGCAAAGGTGCACAGTAATTTCCCCTCAGAATTTTGAAGGCCTACTCCATTGTCTCCTGACTTATAGTGTTTGCTTTAGAGAGTCTAGTGCCTTTTTTATTCCCAGTTCTTTGTAGGCAATAAGATTTTTATCTATGGAAACTCATAGGGTCCTTTTTTTATCCTGATGTTTAGAAATTTCAAGGTTATGAATCTCGACATGTTGATGGATTTTCTAGGTTTGCTGGTGTAGATATATATAAACTGTGCTACCATTTCCTCCCATTTCCACCATGCTCTGAACCCCCTAGAGGCTGGCCTTTCTGGCAGCAAGAATGCCCTCTTTTGCCATTTGACTTCCACTTGGGAAGTGGCAAGGTATGGTAACTATATGAGACTGGAGGGCAGGAGACTAAAGTCAGAGTTCTTATTTTCTCATAGGTTATGAGTTGGCAGTGACTACCAGCCCTCTCCTGAAGGGCTAAGTTCCAGTAACTACTTCCATGCAAAGAGACGGCTAGGCAAAATGCAGCAGCTGGTTATCCTCAGAGAAATCTAGATATGTTGTTAGGAAAGGGACCTTATGAGGATCAGCAACAACAAATTGCATATGATCCTGGTAATGCCACAGTCTGGCTGGGCACAATTCAGGAACCACTTGTCAAAAGAAATGAACTTTATTTTTAGAGCCACACACTGCACCACACAGCTCCTCAGGAAAAACTCTCAGAGCCCAACTGCCACCACCGGCTTCTCACAAGCCTCTCAATCTCCCCCTCTCCTCCTGCTCTTGAGGCCGATTGGCTGGGTTGCGTGGGCGGAGCCAAAAAAAGTCCCCCAATGAGCAGCTCCCTAGTCTAAAAGGGCAGGGAAACAGCCCAATGAGCATCACCGCAGAGGAGCCAATCAGCTAGAAGTTGTTGGGGCCGCTGTGAGCCAATCATCATCTGGCAGTCTGAAGTTTGCTGGCAGCTGGAAGTTTGCTGGGGCCCCTTTGGCTGTGGCTCTCAACACTTCCAACCTTGGCCTTTCAGACAAGGAACATGATAGCTTCCCACAGGTGCTAGCTCAGGATGCTTTATGGTAGGTTGCTGGTTTCTGTACCCTGCCACATCTATTTTAAAAGTGCCTCTCTTTAATCCTCCCATTTGAATGTATCCTCCAAGTCCTACCAGGCACCTAGGTTTTTGGTTTTCTTCTCCCTTTTATATGCTAGACATTGGTCAGTCCTTTTAATAGGAAAACTTTATCTTTCAGTACCAGGAAATGCTCTAAAATTATTGCTTTGGTAGTTTCCTCCCCATTTTCTTTATGTTCCTGATTACTGATGAAGTCAGCACCTTTTCATGACTCTAAAGACTGAATCCTCTGTTCATGCCTTGCACATTTTGCTATTGTATTGTTGACCTTCTTGTTCTTGATTTTAGGAATTCTTTATTTTAAATATATATATATATATATATAAATGTATAAATGATCATTAGGATTAGCTACCCTGTGGTAACAAACACAAAAAGTATAATGGCATAGAAGAATGAGGAGTTTATTTCATCCTCATGTAACAGTCTTGGGTAACCCTTCAGGTTGGCAGCTGCTCTGTTCCATGTAGTCATTTCAGAGACCCAGGCTGCTGGAGACCCTGCTGTCTTTAGCATGTAATTTCTAAGGCTGTCTTGCTTTATCTTAACCTGACCAGGCAAAAAGGAAAAAAGATCATGGAGGTGTACATGGGGAAAATCTAGAGGTAGTCATTATTAGGTTGAACTGCTTAAAACTACTATTTTATATAGTTCAACCTACAAATATTTTCTGTGAAAATATGTGGTTCAATCTACAAAAATGTTTACTGTCTTGTCTCTTAACCTTTCATAATGTGCCTTTTATTAATACAAAGTTTAAAAATTATGGCATGGTCTGGGTGTATGGATCATTTTCTATTTAGCTTTATATTTTTTGTGTCTGACTTTAAAAAGCCTTCCCAAGCCTGGGTGTGGTAATCTGTGCCAGAATTCCTACCTACTCAGGAGGCTGATGCAGGAAGATGGTTTGAGCCCAGAAGCTGGAGGTCAATCTGGGAAGCATAAGTAAGACCCTATTAAAAGACAAAAAAGACTTCCAAAGTCTCACTTATTTCCTTCTGATGCTCCTTTACTTACTCGTATGATTTATTTTTGCAGATAGTATATGAGGTCTGGTTCTAACTTGATTTTTTTTCAAGTAAATAGCCCATCTCCCCAAAATTTTTTAATTGAATGTGCCATTCTTTTGCCACTGATTTGCAGTGACTTCTTTCTAAATCACTGGATTCCCAAGTGTATAGGAGTATCTCTGGATTCTCTTTTTCATTTTTTTTTTCTTTGTGATTCTGGGGATTAAACCCAGGGGTGTTCAATCACTGAGATAAATCCCCATCTCTTTTTATTTTTTAATTTTGAGACAAGGTCTTGCTAAGGTTGCGCAGGCTGGCCTTGAACTTTCAATCCTCCTACCTCAGCCTTTCAAGTTGCTGGGATCACTAGTATGCACCACTATGCCTAGCTTGTTTCTGGATTCTGTATTCTGAGATTGATTGATCTTTTCCTGAGCCAATACTAAAACATTTTAATTATTTTAATTTTATAATATGATTTTATTTCTTGAGAGTAATTATCTTTTTGCTCTATTTTTTAAATGGATTTTTATGCATATTTATTTTCCACTTGAATTTTAAAACTAGCTTGTGATGAGCTTGTTTATTTTGGGTGTTGAGTTATTAGATAAATGAATTTCTAAGGATAAAACCTTAACACTTTAATAACCACAATAAGTCTATAAAGTGACTCTTTACTCAGTAGTATATTTAGATAAACAGAACATCTATTTTTTTATTAGTTGCCATCTACAATTCTTGACATCATCCTTTCTTACTTGAAAATTTAGGTTCTGAATATGATGGAAGAAAATGAGAAACTGGATAATATTGCAAAATTAGAACAACAGGAGTTCGGCCTGGATCTTGAGGAACTGGAAAGGCTCCATGAAGAAAGTGAAGAGGAGGTGGCCAAGGTAGAGAAAGAGTTCATCTAAGCACCCATATTAGCCTACCTGAGCTCTTAGCTTTTGAAGAGATACCAGCCTTGGATTGGATGTGATAGGGATCCAGAAGAATGCTAGCAAATGGCACCCTAAACCCAGCTAGCTTTCCACATGTTGTGGGAGAGTTAGTGACACCTACCACTGAGGGATCTCAGTCCTAAACAGAGGAGGCTACTAGTCAGCCCCATCCTGGATCTCAACAATAGGGAGGAGACCAAAGCCCAACAGTGATTATCTGAACATGGCCCCAGGGAGTGGAATAGTTAACTAGATAGCCCAGCAGTGGGGAGAAGAAGGCTGAGGGGCAGGGGTCTCACAGCTTCTGACAATGGATATGCCAAAATGGCTATATAAATCATTAAGTCAGGGGATCAGAATAAAAAAGAAATGAAATGCAAATTAATACAATTAAAAAGTACATAATAGGGGCTGGGGTTGTGGCTCAGCAGTAGAGTGCTTACTAGCAGGTGCAAGGCCCTGGGTTTGATCCTCAGCACCACATAAAAATAAATAAACAAAATAAAGATATTGTATCCAACTACAACTATTTTTTTAAAGTACATAATAAAAAAATAAAAGAAATAACAGAAAGACATTTTGGAGGAGGGCACTGGGAATTGAATTCAAGGATGCTCTACCTCTGAGCTATATCTCCATCCCTTTTCATTTTTTATTTTGAGACAGGGCCTTGTTAAGTTGCCCAGGCTGGACTTGAACTTATGATCTTCCTGCCTCAGCATCCCAAGTCACTGGGATTATAGGCATATGCTACTGCACCTAGCTAAAAGGACATTTTTAAGTCTTAGAAATACTATTCTTAGCTAGTTTATTAATCAACTTGCCAACCAAGTGAGATACAAACAAAAGGTCTGGAGAAGATCTTTAGAACTAAGGGCTATGGGTTTCATGGTCATACCAGGTCTTTTCACAAACTCCATTAAAATAGGGATATCTAATTACTTATCTGTTAAGTTGTATCAGCAGATAAAACTAATTAAAGTAGGACATTTGATTCTAAATGTATAAATGTAAGTTATCTGATCTCCAAGAGTAAGTGGTAGATTTTTTTATTGTGGACATCAGTAGTATGGGAACTATATACAATAAAGACTCCCAGAGGTCACTGGCACTTCAAATATGTGTGGAAAGAATTAAGCTGGCTTTTAGATCTCTGGTAATTCAGGGGCCATCCTATGTATTGGAGATGTTTAGTAACATCTCCAGCCTCTGTCTACAAGACAGGAGCATCTCATACCTCCAGTAATAAAAATTTTAAAATATCTCCAGAGATCTAAAAGCCAGCTTAATTCATAATATGAATTTCAAACTCCTCTGAGAAAAGGTAGACTTGGCACAGTAGTGTCGCTTCCTGGCTATTCCAACTAGCCAGGTCTGTGAGCATCAGTAGTCCAGCTCCCCTGGGTGAGGGATCTGTCCTCAGAACCCCCTGTGCTCATGGGTGTGACATGGCTGCCCTTGGAGGCATTTATGTTGCCACCCCAGTCTTCACGGAAGGGAATACAGCCTACAGATGTACCCTTCAGGAACTGTTTTCAGGGGTACAGCTTGCACTCCAGACATTCATCTCCAGGCAATGTAGCTCAAAAACTGTTGGGGAAAAATAATCAAACTGTCCCACCTCAAACATAGCCATGACTTACCTTGGTAGTGAATTTACGAAAAGATGATTTTGTTCTAAGAGGCCACACTTTCATTTTTAACTTTTCCCTTCATCCATGTGCTTCAAGATAAGAAAGGATGTAGAGATGCACAATCTAGCCAAGGGCTACTTGACTGAGGTTATCAAAGAAGAATGCTGGAATGCCATGGCTGTGAAGGGCCGAGCACTTAAGGTAAAGGACACAACCCCAAAAACCTTAGCTGCTGAGAATTTTCAACCAAAGTCTCATGGCATAACATTTAACAACAGTTTTTAAAAAGAAAATCCACATGTAGCAAAGCATTTGAAGCATGCCCTGCCTCTTCTACACTGACTTCCACCTATAGGTGTTGCTTTCTCTTAATGCTTTCTTCCCTCTGCTCAGTCCCCATGTGCTTCCAAACCAGCACCTCTTAAGATTGGCTTTAGCACCCCATCTTTCTTTCCGCTGCAACACTTCCTGTTCCAGGTCTTAGTATTTGTCTACTCCAAAAGCCCACCTCATTCACGGTCCACACAGCTCAAAAGGTGGGATACAACGTATTGTTCACATCTATACCTCTGCCTGCCTTTGCATTTTCTAAGGAGCTATTTTTTTTAAAATTAGAGCATTATAATTATACATACTATTTGAGTTCATTTTAACAAACTAATACACGCAAGGAATTTGATTTCAATCCCCATTTCCCCATTTTCCCTCCCCTCGTCCCTCCCTCATTCTCTCTACTCTATTTCCTTCACTCCTTTATTTATCTAGTTTTGATGCATACATTAGTTATGTTATAATGAAATTAACTCTTTTCATATTTCCTCTCTATATTTTTCCTTGTTTCTTCTTTCTTTTCCCCTTCATTTCTAAGGAGCTATTTTTAAAATTTTTTTTATTCTGATTTGTTATACATGATGACAGAATACAATTCATTTCATATCACACACATAGAACAAAATTTTTCAAGATACTGGTTGTATACAAAGTATTTTCACACCATTCATGTCTTATACTTAGGGTAATGATGTCTAACTCATTCCCCATCATTCCTATCCTTTTGCCCCTTCCTTTCCCCTCCCTCCCCTTTGCCCTATCTAAAGATCCTCCATTCTTCCCATGCTCCTCCCCAATCGCCATTATGCATCTGCATCCTCATATCAAAGAAAACATTCAGCTTTTGGTTTTGGGGGATTGGCTTGCTTCACTTAGCCTTATATTCTCCAACTTCATCCATTTACCTGCAAATGCCATGATTTTCTCTCTTTTAATGCTGAGTAATGTTCCATTGTGTATGTATACCAAAGTTTCCCTATCCATTGTCTACTGAAGGGCATCTAGGTCAGTTCCATAATTTAGCTATTGTGAATTATGCTGCCGCAAACATTGATATGGCTGTGTCCCTGTAGTATGCTGTTTTTAAGTCCTGTGGGTATAAAAAAAGAGTCGGACAGCTGGATCAAATGGTGGTTCCATTCCAAAATCTATTTTCCAGATTGGCTACACCAATTTGCAGTCCCACCGGCAATGTATGAGTGTGCTCTTAAGAAGCTATTTTAATTTACCTCTTTAAAAATACAGTGTGACCAAAAGTCTTGAGTTTATGTCTGTGGAGTAACTATTCACAACACCTTCTTCACTTTCAAATGTCACACACACAAAAACCCACATATATTTGGATAATGAAGCATGTATTGACCCTACCTTGAGACGATTGAGTTTCTCTCTAGAATAAGGTTTCCCAAAAGTGGCATATTTGGGGCTGGACCATCACTTGTCATAGGACTATCCTATGTATTAGAGATGTTCAGCAACATTCCCAGTCTCTGACTACTAGATAAGAGCACCCCACACCTCCAGTAATAAAAATTTAAAAATGTCTCCAGACATTGCCAGGTGTGGGTGGAGGGAAGAGAGGCAGAATTGCTTTCTAGCTGAGAACCATTGCTCTAGAAAGAAATCCTTCAAAGTCTAACCAATACTAATAGCATGCCTCATTTTATTTTTAAAATTTCCAGTGCCAATTTTACTCATGGCATAATATCCCATGAGTTAATTTTAGTCAGAGAAAACACCCCACACCTCATCCCCACATACCCACAATTATACTCAAAATGAATTTATTGGGCCTGGGGCTGTAGCTCAGTGGCAGAGCACTTGCCTCTCACACATGTAAGCCAATGGGTTCGATCCTAGCACCACATAAAAATAAACAAATAAAATAAAGGCATGCTGTCCATCTACAACTATTAAAAAAAGAATTTACTTCCTCTTGCTTGTTTCCCAAGTGCTTTCACATCCCTTATGTGGTCGAGAACTTCCCGATGAAAGAGCGCTCAAGTGAAGAGCTGAAGGAATTGAAGACAGTCTTGCAGCAAAAGAAGATTGAAGCAGAGTGTCTTAAAGTACAATTTTTAATATATATGTTTATATAAGTGATGTGATTTATATTAGGGTTTCCTTCATACAGACTTGAGTTGGGATACAATTTAGGATAATAAGTTAATATATTGTGTGCATTTTTATATATGTATTTTGTTCCATTTATATTTTTATTTCTAATTTGCAGGATACATTCTTTTATTCTTTTCTTTCTTTCTTTCTTTCTTTTATTTATTTATTTATTTATTTATTGGATACTAAAGGTTAGATATAGAGGTGTTTTACCACTGAGCCACATCCCCAGCTCTTTTTACTTTTTATTTTGAGATACTGTTTCATTAAGTTGCTTGGGACCTCATTAAATTGCTGAGGCTGGATTTGAACTCATGATCCTCCTGCCTCAGCCTCCCGAGCCCCTGGGATTACAGGTATGCGCCACCATGCCCAGTTTACAGGATATATTCTAATAAACACAGGACCTATATTCATATAGTAAATCCAACACTGGCTAGCCATCAGATACCAAGGATATGCTTTTAAAAACAACAATTGGTGTTTTGTTCTTATTTTGCTCAGAGGTCTATACTCCCTCCTCACTCTACCTTACCATTTGGGATTGTGTTTTAAATTAACCAACAAAGATGAACTAGAATCTTTTTTGATGTAAATGCAGTTTCCCTAAAACAGCTCCACTTTTTTTTAAGAAGTAATTTCTGTGAAATCAGTTTAAAAAAAAAAAAAGAAAGAAAGAAATTGGTCCTTTGTTATAGCTTTGTTTTGGCCAGAATTTTGCATCTACTCTTTCTCCAAAACATAAAATGAAGGCTTATGTAAATCTTAACCAACACCCTCTAGTCCCATGTGAACAAGTTTGTTTACTTTGTAATGCTTACATACCAAGAAAGACTTGAAATATTTACAAGTGGGTATCATCCTGACACACAAATATCAATATTATGTAGTGTTCAGGGTCATTTTTGTTCTTTGGTTTACAGTTTGTCAGTTTCTGGAGCTTTAATTTCTTCTGTGGTGGTTTCAGGATCCTATCACCTCGAATTAAATTGTTGGCAAGATGATTTAACCTCTTAAGATGGTTGTTAAAGTAATTAAATTGTTGCAAAATTGTCCTTTAGAGAATTTTTCTTATTGCACGACTTCCATGTAATCTTTTTCTCTATTCAGCTACGGAAGGAAATTTCAGAGGTTCAATCTGCAGTCTCCTTGGTTAAAAAGCGTCATGAAGAAGATGATGAAGAAGAAGAAGATGAAGATAAGATAATCAGAGACTCCAACTTGCCCAATTACCTGCTTGGTAGTTTGAGTACTGATTTTGGGGTAGATACCTCTTTGTTATCAAGCCAATTGGAACTTCACTCCAGAGAGGAGAAGATCAACCAAATTACCTTACTAAAAGTGGGTGGCTTTTCTCTTTATTCTTAAAAATTTCTGAAACTCTTATGAGATGTCTTTAAAGTGCTCACATTGAAACCTAATTCCAATCAAATGATTTCATCAAAGTGCATAAAGAAACACACAGCCATGTCCACAGACAGAGCTTATGTACAAGAGTTGTCTCCATCCCTTCAAACTGGGTTCTGTGCTCTCACATTTTCTAAAGAATACTTTACACTGGCTGATACCACAAACCATTCTTCTGTTTAGAACTTTAGTCAGTTCAAAGAAACTCTTGGATTCCATCTTCTCAGTAACTCAAGTTTCATTTAGGATCTCCTTTTAAGGTTGAGACACAACTGCTTATTTAGCTGCTTAACCTGAGGAAATATAATTTCTTCTCTAAGAATTTTGGTACATTCTGGGTTCTAGAATAAGTCCCTTCCTCTTTACTTCTCCACTAAACAAGTCAATCTCATAACACATCTGTCTATGGAGAAGACTCTAAGATGCTCCAGAGGTTCCCGGTCATGGGAATTAGATAATTTTGAGGCTGTAGGCATAGGCATAATTTTTGAAAATGCAATGCCTGAGACTGTAGATACTTTGAAATTTATTGTTAGCTATTCCTTTTCTTAAAAGTCCTTCAGCCATGTCTGCAATTCAAGTTCTAGCTTCCTGTCATGTTTCTCAGCTCTCACTTCCTTTCTTTTCCTTCTTCTATTCTAACCCTTTATTCCTCAGAGAATAAGCCCTCAATTTATTCTAAGAATGGTTCAGTTACCTTTTGTGGCCCAGCTTCTGCAGACTCATGCCCCAGGCATCACCTTCTTGCTACTTTATTCCTACAAAGAGGTAATTTCAGCCTAAGAGAAACTGGTGCTAAGTGTTAAGATCATTTTTTTTTCCAATTTAATGGCTTCTTCTCCAATAACATAGATGTATAGACTGAACTCTGACAGTAACATAAAGGCCACTTTGAGTTGAGCCATTAGGAGTGGTAGCAACCCATCCGGACTCACTTTCTCTCTGGTTATTGACTGATCCTTCTGGTGACCTCAGGTTCTCTCTTGCCTGAGAATGACCTGATCCTATAGCTATAGAAAGAATATTGTGCCTGGTGGACTTCTCTGGAAGCTTCTCTAAACACTCTGTATTGGCCATTTCTTCCTCTCTACATCTGCCACAAGATTCTAAAAAAGAGATTTAAAAAAAAATCATGCACAAAAGTAGAGAGAATTGCTCAATGAGCCTCTGTGTGCACACCACCCACCTGAACATTTATCATCATACTTGCACATTGAATGACAGCTTACATTTCAGAAAGTAGATTATGGAATATGGTTGCCTTAATCCTACCTATGGTTGGATGCCACTGTCAATTATAGAATCAAGAAATGGCTTGATACAAATGGCATTCCAGGAAGATTAATTTTACCTTCTTAAAAGATAATTTCAGGACTGACCTTAGAGGGAAAGTGTAACTTGGGATCATGTTACTAGTAAAGATATGAGATGTGGTGTGTTTTTCAGTAACATATTGATATTTCAGGATATCATTTACAAGGTAAAAACTGCTTTCAATAATGAGTTTGATGCTGCATATAAACAAAAAGAGTTTGAAATCACACGTGTGACGGAAAGAAATGTTAGAATTAGAGAAATTATTTCAGATCTGGAGTTGGAGGAAACAGTCTGGCAACCAGAATTTGAAGACTGTGAGAAACCAGAGAGAACCTTTGTTGTAGAGGATCATGAGGTATGGCTGGCCCCATCATCTCTTCCCTCTTTCTCAGATTTCTCCCAGATCCTATTTGTTCACCTTCTTCTTTATATTATTGCAAACAACTGTATTAGCTAGCATGCTCATTTACAGATAATAAAAACAGAGGCTAGAGCTGCAGTATTGAGAATTTCTTTTATGGACCCCAGGGAGTCCAGGGAAGATTTGGACACTGCACCTAGGAAGAAACCGGCAGCAGAGACTAGAGCTTTATGGGGAGTCCAGGGCCCTCTTTCTTTATCTCCTAGCTTACTTATCTGTGCATATAAGATTCTTCTAGCAATTTCTACTTTGTATCTCCTCTACCAAGAGAGCAGCTGGTCTGAATTAGATTATCTTGGTTCTAGTTCTAGGCTTGCCTGGGAAGGGACTCCTTGGCCTAGTGTTGGCCCAGTGCTTGAACCAGAGGGGTTGAACCACTCTGTGGGAAAAAGGCCAATGGAGTCATTATCTAGATCTTTGGTGGGCAGTACAGATACCAGGGAAAGGGACTTGTGGACAGCCTTCTTCAAAGTATAGGCAGTTTCGAAAAGAATACCTAAAGAAAATATATGACCATATTTCATTCTTTTGAAAGAAAAAATGCTGGAGAATACTCAAAGAAAAACTATTGTTCACATGAAACCAATTTGACTACTTTGGGGCAAAAAGTAATACTGGTGTTTAGAAGAAATATTTTCACCATCCCTATTAGCTGCCAGGCCCCATTCTAAGTGTCTTAGATAGATGAGAATGAATATATAATTCTACATCCATAGAAGGTAAGTCCTAACATTGCCTCTATTTCACAGATGAGGAAAGTGAGGGACAGAGAAATTAAGTAGCTTAGCCACAGTTTCTTGGCTAATTAGTAACAGACTGGACCCAAACCATTTGCTTCTGAGGACATTGTCCTAACCTTTGAACTTGTTTAACTTCTACAAGTCATTTTTCCCTAGTCTCTTTGCTATGTGACCTGGGAGCTGGAGCAAGGTGAAAACCAAGACCTCATTCTGCCACTGCTCAGGGCCCAGCTCAAGGCAATCCCTTTGCACATGCAGTAAACCCCCATGCCTGCTTTTTCTTGAGCTCCCATCAGTTTATGTTCAGGAGAGAGATCTCTTTGCAAGTCAGATATGACTTCCTGCTGTGCCTGACCCCCTGCAGTGGCTGCCCAGGGCACTTGGGATACAGCCCACCTTCCTGACCATCTCCCTGCCCTCATCTTATCCAGCTGCTCTCGCTCCCTTCTGGCCATGCTTTACTGCCCACAGTTCTTAGAATGCCCCAAGCTCTTGACCTCTTAGGACATCTTTCAGGATTTGACTTAGGTGACACTTCTTTGATCTCCCTTCCCCTCACCCTTCATCAAATCTCTTCAGTGATGAGACAGAGCTGAAAACTAAAAGTAAAGATCTATTCTTCTAGCCCTCTCATTTTAGACTTTGTCTTCATTCCAAAACAGAAATTGAATGCAAAATATGGATTGTACCTTTAATTCTCACAGTACTATTTAATTTCCTCCCAGTGTATAGAAGGAAAGTTTGGTTTGGATTTTGTAAGAATACCAGCAGAAAGCTGTATTTTCTCTTTTAGATTACAGCTCAAAAACATGTTTCTCCATGGCAAAAAGCCAAAACAGAATTGATTTCACCCCATGAAACAGAGCGATGGCTTCATTCACAGGTATGCAGCTCTGTCCAAATAATACCCAAGACCCTCTTTCCTTTAGAGATACTTGTATCCCATTATAGAAGCACATAAAGATAACTGTCTTGGTCCAGAGGCCACTTGAACCTCATCTAGCTTCCTCCGTTCTCTCTTCCATACCACTGCCACCATTCCCTATCCTAAAGTGGTCATCCTAACACCAGGTGGGAGGTGCCCCTGGGGTCAGAGCACTGTCTCAGCTGCCCTCTCTGACCCTGGCTCTTTCTCAGGATTTGGACGTTAGAAACAGAGCCCTGATGGACATGATGGGAGGTGTTCTGGAAGTCAAGAAGGAAGACATTTTGAGAATGGTGAGATATCTGGCCCTCCTTGTGAAAGGTATAGCAGAGTTGAAATACACTTACATTTCACCATTTTGTACAAATTCTATGGCAAAAAAATATTAGACAACCTTATAGTACCCTATAAACATACACAGTAGGCAAATAAGAAAAAAAAATTGGCTTCCATTCTCACAAGAAGCAAATGAGCACCAACAAACCACAGTGGTTTTGTTCTCTACCAAAGGCAGGGATACCACTTCAACTCTACTCTAACACCTGCAGTACAGGTGTAGTTCTGCACACACCTCTGTCACCTAAGGGTCCAGGTATATCCTAAACTGCTCTCACTCTCCAGAGTCACAGAACAATAGTCATGATGTTCATTCATACTCTTTAGTAAAAGTGTGTTAGACTATTGTCCTTATCGACTTTTTGTTTGTCTTGTTTTGTTTGGTGTTACTGGGGACTGAACTCATGAGTGTTTTACCACTGAGCTACATTCATAGCCCTTTTCATGTTTCAATTTGAGACAAGGTCCAAAATTGCCCAGATTGGCCTTGAACTTGCAATCTATCTGCCTCAGGCTTCTGAATCTCTGGGATTACGGTGTGCACTGCGGGACCTGGCCCTTGCCAACCCTTTTAAAGGGCCTTTGCTTTTTTATTTCTTCAAATTGTAACCATACCTCTGAGCTTTTACAGTACTGATGCATTTCCATTTGAGCAAGCATGTGTGTTTCTTTCTATTGTCAGGTGATTCCTCAGCCTGCTTTCATGATAAAGCCTGATGCACTGTGGACAGAAGAGGAAAGGAAACAATTCAAAGAATATGAGAAAAAAGTCAAGGAGTTAAATGAAGAAAGAGATAAGTATAGAAAGGTCAGAAGATCCAAAAATCAACATAATCTACCATATCCAGGGTTTTGTTTCAATATTTTTTCAATTTTTTTTATTTCTCAGTGTCTTTAGTGGCTTAAGAATGGCATCTCATCTTAAATTCTCAAGAATTTAGAAGATTTTAGAGAAGTAAATTTTGAGGACTTCAAAGAGAACAATTTAAAACAAAAAGAATTTTGAGCAGTGGTTTTTGAAAGTTCTTATTGATTTCAACATTTCCCACATTGTTTCCATTCATTCTTGTTTAATAGACACCAGTTCTGGCACATCCAAGTCACTGTGAGCGATTGTTCTCTCCTGTCTGTAGCCATCTGAGTTCAGTAATGTTTCTGCTTGATTTGTTCTCACAAGGAAAGGATTTGAGAAAATGGTACAGATAATGGTGTAGCACTTAGTTTACAGTTCTTATTCCAAGTTTCTGCAGTGCAGTTCTGCTACTTTTTATCTTCTTCCATCACAAAGAAACATTCCCACATTAAAACTGCTTACCATTCTAATAGAGATGTAAAAGACTATGGTGTATAACCAAGTGATGATATCTATGCTTCTGTGAGGGAAGTAAAATCATACTTCCCTCGTTCAAGACAGGACTGATTTCTACCTTTTTTTGAGGCTGCATCTTATGAACAAGTTCTTTGAACCTTTTGTTAACCTGTTATATTTTTATTCACTGCAATTCTGACTTGTATTTTAACCTAAGATAGCACTTGCCTAAAACCTGAATCCATAATTCTACTCATTACCTATCTTGGTTCATCTCATACCTCCACTTCTTCCCCAACACTGGATTATTTTTTCAGTGATATAAAAAATTAAATATAAAAATTATAATATAAAAAATAAAATAGTAGTCATCAGGAATACAAACAAAAATAAATCCTGGAGAAGATGTGGAGAAAAAGAAACACTTTTTCACTGTTGGGATTGTAAATTGATACAACCACTAAGGAAATCAGTATGGAGGTTCCTCAAAAGACTAGGCATGGAACCACTGTAAAATCCATTCCTCAATGTCTATCCTAAAGAATTACTATAGTGACATATACACACCCATATTTATAGCAGCACAATTCACAATACCCAAACCATGAAACAAGTCTAGGTATCCATCAATGGATGAGTGGGTAAATAAAATGTGGTATATATACACAATGGCGTTTTTATTCAACCGGTAAAAAAAAAAAAAAAAATGAGAGTGCGCATGTGTTGGTTGTCCGGAAATTACCGCAGTGCCTCCCGGGAGGAGGCAGAAAGCCCGGAAGTAAATATTGCCGGACTAGTTTCCTTTCTGTCGGATGGTTTTGGCGTAGGCTTCGGCCTGACCAGGCGAGGTCATTATGTCCGCCGCAGCAGTGGACACGGTTAATGCAGCACCCCAATCGGAGTACAAAGAAATTAATTTGGAGGAACCAAAGAAGATGACTCGAGAGGACTAGAGAAAGAAGAAGGAGCTAGAAGAAAAGTGAAAACTGGGTAATGCTCCAGCAGAAGTTGATGAAGAGGGAAAAGACATCAATCCTCATATTCCTCAGTATATATCTTCAGTGCCATATGATATATTGATCCATCAAGAAGACCTATTTTAAATCATCAGAGACCACAACCATCTGGGGAATGGTACAAGAGGGGGGAGTAAAAGAGAATTCCATAACTACTAAGTACCACAAAGGAGCTTGTGAAATTGTGGGGCCATGACACACAAAAAGAAAGACTGCTTTGAGAAACCTAGGCGAGTTGGAGCCAATTTTACAGGTTCTAATATAGCTCCAGATGAACATGTCCAGCCTCAACTGATGTTTGACTATGATGAAAAAAGAGATCGGTGGAATGGCTATAATCCAGAAGAACACATGAAAATTGTGGAAGAATATGCCAAAAGTTGATCTAGACAAACGAACTTTGAAAGCCCAGAAACTGCAAGAATTAGCCTCAGGAAAACTAGTGGAACAAGCTAATTCTCCAAAACACAGTGGGGAGAAGAGGAACCAAATTCCCAAAGGAGAAAGATCACAATAGTGAAGATGAGGATGAAGACAAATATGCAGATGATATTGACATGCCAGTTCAGAATTTTGACTCTAAGATGAATTACTGTCCGAAATCTCAGGATTCGAGAAGATATTGCAAAATACTTAAGATCCAAATTCTGCGTACTATGATCCAAAAACTAGAGCAATGAGAGAATCCTTATGCTAATGCAGGAAAGAATCCAGATGAAGTGAGTTTTGCAGGAGATAACTTCGTTAGATACACAGGAGATACCATCTCAATGGCTCAGACACAGTTTGCTTGGGAAGCCTTTGACAAAGGATCTGAAGTGCATCTACAGGCGGATCCTACAAAACTAGAGCTATTGTATAAGTCCTTCAAAGTCAAAAAAGAAGACTTTCAAAGAACAGCAGAAAGAAAACATTCTAGAAAAGTATGGTGGGGGCTGGGGATGTGGCTCAAGCGGTAGTGCGCTCGCCTGGCATGCATGCGGCCCGGGTTCGATCCTCAGCACCACATACAAAGAAAGATGTTGTGTCCACCGAAAACTAAAAAATAAATAATTCTCTCTC